TTGTTTTTCTCTCCTATATATTCTCCTCCTGTTCAGTTACTCTTGGCTGGTTTGTCGTTGTTTCTTTGCCCCCTTCTTATGAAAATTCCTGGTTCTCAGTTTTTGTGGATTTTGTGGATTTATGTTTTAGATTTTTGCTTCAAGTAACCACCTTAAGCTCTTGTGTCTGCATTTGGGTCCTGTCAAACATCAACTTCCACTTGACAACTAGAAGGTAGAGGAGGCGCAGTCTGAAGACATTCTATGGGACTGAAAACCACTAATAATGGCTATTTAATGGCCGATCTCATATAAAATCTGTGTCTGAAGCCTGAGTGTGAGATTCACAATTTAAAAAAAAACCTTTTACCTCTTTCACTGCCTTTCTCTGCCTCTTAGCTAATCTGTGTTCAAAATGCTCTGTTTCAAAAGATGATGTCATAAGGGGAAATAAGCTGTCTAGTGAGGCCTTTAGCAGCCCGTCAGTCATGCTAAGGCCATCTAATGTATTATTCCGTGCTCCTGTCAGTCAGGAATCCAGTTTGTGTGGTCTGTTGTTTGTGTTTGTCTCTCCCTCAACCACCAGGTGGCTCCCTGTCCTCCCTGCACACCTGCGTCTCGTTGGATCATTATCGGGAGGAGTACTTAAGCAGTGGACTGTCACTACCTCGTGGCCAGAGAGTTTGCCAGTTTTGGGAAGCCATCCTGCAAGCTGGATGTTTTTGGCCTTCTTCCCCTGGAAGAATTGTTTGAGTCTCACACTGAGCAGGGGATTAACCTCCACAAGTTCCGTTCAAGACCTCCTGGATTCCAAGTGACAGTCCGCTCCATAGTGCCTCAGAGTCCAACCAAGTTTAAACCTGTACGCCCTCCAACGGATCTCTTCCACTGGATCAACCCACTCAGACTGGATTCTGGGAAGAAAGTTTTCTCCACTAACGTGAGTCGCGTTTTCTGTTTCTCCAAGTCATCGTTCAAAGTTCCCACGGATCCTGAACTCACGTCTGTGAACTTCCCTCCTCCCTTCCAGGTCCTGTTCACCGGCCCTCTGAGCACCAGATCCAACCCCTCAACGCTTACCACAATACACCTGTTTAAACCTTTGCCTTGCTCTCTGAGTGGTTCTCTGCATTTTGGGTCAGATCCTTAAACCAAATCATGACACTGCTATCTTTACAAACTCTGACTCTATGACGGTTGGGGGTGTGGACAGGGGTGTGGAAAGCCACAGCAGCTCATTTAGAAGAGGGCTGAATGAGCTGTTTGGTACATGCTGTGTGCCTAATCTGGGAAGAATTTTCCTGCACAAATGGCAAAAACTTTTTTTATTTCAAATGTATGGCACCTTAAAAGCATATCTAGACTTGTGTTAGAACATAAGAATTCATTTTCAAACAAAGACAGAATAGAACAGGACAGTGCTAATAGGTTTTAAACAGAAAACAAACAGAACATCCCCAGACAAGGGCGGCAGCTCCCTTTAATTAAATATGTTTTGCCAAACAAAACAAAAGTTAAGTTCATGTTTAAAGTCATTGACTTTTTTTTGCACCCCAAGCACAAACTTTAAATAGTTTCATAACACAATTATTATTTCACAGTCGAAAGCTAAATTATTTATTCAGACCACTCACAAAAAATAAAGAGCAGCAGATTTCCTTTAAGTTGTATTAAAGCAAGTATACACTGTGATAACACACCTAAAAACATCCAAATTTTTCACAAGGGCTTAAAAATAAACTTTTGCAAGATACAGCATTTCAATGAAAAGAAAAATTAGATGGTTCACTTCTTATAGCTGAGTCAAGTCTCCTGAGCAAAGTGTTATGTAAAATGCACAGAAAAGCAGCAGTGCCCTTTTTAAAACCAAATTAAAATGGTAGAATGTGAAAGGTGAGAACCACTTTAATTAAAAAGGTGATGAAGTCTAAATATGGTAACAAAAGGTATTGGGTTGATGAAATATGTTAACAAAGCCAGATTGGAAAAAGTATTTGATTAGGTTAAATATGACAGGATAATATAGCCAAACAAACCTCATATATTAAACTTGAGATTCTTGACTAAATAAATTCAGGAATTACCCCTTTTTGGTTTAGGTGCTCTAAGCTGTGGGATTTTCCTGCTCTACCTGCTTAATATTTACCATGAAGTCTTATACTATTAAACTAAAGGGATCTTCATTAATTTTCTGGCTGCAAGTTCAACCAAAATGATTAGAAATATGAAGTCTCTTTCTTTAACTACAGATAAAGAAAGCTCAGGTGTTGCTTTCTCACCTGCTGTAGCAGGTGTTCCAGTTCAGACCTTTTGCTTGAAGCTGAGACAGATAGAAGTCGTGTATCAGTTTAACCTTACCAGTGCCACATGCTCCAGTCTCAGACAGACCGAATAACCCTGGCAGGTGGAAAAATGATGTTCTTTTTGTAAGAATACTGGAACTTAAAAATAATTATTTGCTTCTTATCCAAATTATAATGAACTATCTATATAATATACTAAAAGAAATCAATACAGTAGTGACACGCTGTGCTGTGGCTGCTAATTAGGATGTTATCTCAGGCATATTATTACAGATATTTATAAAGACCTATTAACTTTTATAAAAAGACCTCACACCAATGTTTATTGGTGTCTGTTTATTTATAAAATACATGGAGACTTCAAAGCTCTTTACACTACATTCAGTCATTCAGTCTTACACCCATTCACACACAAACTCACACACTGAAGGTGTCAAGCTACATTGTAGCCACAGCTGCACTGGGGCTCACAATAGGCAATTCTGGTGAAGTGTCTTGCCCAAAGACACAATGACACTGAAAGCCGGAGCTTTAACCGTCAACCCTTCAATTTCAGGGCAAGCTCCTACACCCGACGCCACTGTCACCCTCAAAAAGGTGTATTTAAGAAAAAGAATAAAGCAAAAGAAGTATATTTTTGTTTTTAACATGCTTGCTTTTTTTGCTTTTTTTTTTTTGTTTAAGTCATCCACATATTTCCCAATTCTAAAATTAAGGGTTTTATGTTACATCTGTTTTTGCCCAGTACAGCAAAACATGTGTAAACTAAACACCTGTTGTAACATAATCACTTACTACATACTGTACCTATGATGGTCAGTGAAATATCAGTAAATCATGCTTTGTCATATAATATGAAAAACATTACTGTCATGGCCGAACAGTCAATGATTGTTTATATAATCAAAACCATTTATAACAGGAAAAGACCTTGGATAGCACAGACCTCTGCCAAGTATTTCATTTCCAGCAAACATATGAGGAATTCCACCTTAAGATAATATCTGTATTCACAGAATCTTTACACAAAATCCTCAATCCAGATGGTAATCTGGATCAACACAAAAATGGTATCATGTGTAGTAAGTCACAATATGTACATGCTCTGAAATTTTCTGCAAAATTCGTCAATAACTTTTTTGTTGTTATATTTAAAAGAGACAAACCAACGCCAATGAACACATAACCTCCTTGGGAGGTAAAATTATGCAACCCTACACTAAACATACACAATGAGTGAGAATGGATCTAAAAATGTTATTTTCCAGACCCTTTTTATTCACTCTGACTGGGTGAGCTATTGTGGTCAACAATGTTCTGTCTCTACCTGTGAAAAACAGGTAGAAACATGCAATCAAACACCTCCAGCTGGATTTGCAGCAGAAAGTATCAACATTTGTAAACACAATTAAAATGAAATAAACAGCACTCAAACGTATTCACTATTTTTTACTTTGAGTATTTCTAACTTGACACTGAACCCCATTAGAATTCAAAGTGACAAAAAGTCTAAAAGTTCAAGAGTATGAATAATTGTGCAAGGCACTGAATTGTCACTATTAATCAAGAAGAGGAGTAATGAAATTAATTTAATACCAGCATCTGATTATGCTGCACACTGTAGTAAGCATCAGAGCCTGCCTCGCAATTATCAGCAAATTTCTGTAAAAATCCCATCTGTCCCTTGTTCATGGTGCCCTGGCTCCATTAATGATTAGCCAAATGATGAAGCCATTATGAACCTGCGCCTGAGCCTCATGGAACATTAAATACATCCCTTCCTCTCTAGGGGCCCCTTACTGAGCTTCTCTTTAGGCTGCAGTCAGGAAATGAAGCCAGCCATTAGAACCAAAGCAAAAACCTGAGGATGCTGCACACCTGATAAACAGCTCTGGCAGATATTCTGCCTGCTGGGGTGGGCTTTGGGGCTTTGATGTATAGTGCAAACTCTAAGACTGCTTGACTCCATGCAAACCCAGACTCTTTTAGGAAGCTGGAGCACATCCAGTCCTCAACGTGAGTTCAGCTGTACAGGATTTTTTTTAATCATTTTTTTCATTCCTTTCTGTGATGCTCCTATACGACAAAGTGCAACCTGATCACTACACAGAACGTTTGCAAACATCCCAGTATAATTTTACTCTCTGTTCCAGTCTGTCCGGTTCAGGCCTGCATGATCTTCCAACCACACCCCATCTTCATCTCTCGGAAGAGGAGGGCACAAGTGCTCGTACAGCGCACCACAATACCATTCATAAACCAGCTCTGTGGTTATAATATCGGCTTTTAACAGCGCATGGCATTCGGGCGTGTGTAATGGGAAATCACCGCGGAGCTGATGGTGGATATGTAAACTCAGGGTTGGGGTGCAGTCCTCCATTGATGAAAATGAATGGATGAAAGAGATAAAAGCCTATGATTCATCCTTGCACCCCCCACCTCCTATTTCTGTCCCACCCCATCCTCGCACCTGCACCTGTAACACATACTGACCCTGTTTCAGGCCATCCTCGCCCACTCTAACCACTTACTGGCTTGATTTAAGGGAGGGAAAGGATGTAAATCGTATGATTTCTAGGGTCTTACATCTTTAAGATGCCCATAGAAGCGCAAAATGATGGCTGGTGTATTTTAGGAGCTTACATATTGCCTCTAGTTCTACGGATTTGCGTTGTAGCCTACTTAAACAAAATGGTTTAATTGAATTGTTGATCTTACTTAAGCATGGCTTGTTCTTTCTCCTCCTCCTCCTTCTGGCGAGCCATCACTGCCATGATGATCTTCCGCTCCTCCTCGGTGAGGTGGCTAAGGTCCGGTAGATCCGGCATGGACGGCGGCACGGTGGGTGGGCGAGGGCCGCCCTGGGGCCCCACCGAGGTGGACATCTTTTCGACCACCACCGCCCCACCTCCACCACCTCCTCCTCCTCCTGGTTCTCCTCGGCGTGTCGTTTCGGCTGACAGGTTCCTGAGGCGCACCTCACGATGTGCTCCGCGGGGGGAGAGGCAGCGGCAGCCGCGGCTCAGGCAAACAGCCGCTCATGGTTGCAGGCACCTCCACTTGTGCTTTTGTGTTCTGCTCCCTCTGGGTGTTTCCCTCCTCCTCCCGCCTCTACTCCTTCAGAAACGAGTACATCTCCGCATGCATTGCATTTTTTTTTATTCTCCTCCTTTTTCTTTGGTCTCTCAGTCAGGCCTGCGGTGTTTCTCTTCTCCACTTCGGACTGAAGCTTGGAGGTTGGGGCGGAGTCCTCGGTGCTTCTCTGCTGCCTTCCTGGGAATGAATCCCTCCTTCCTCTGGAATTTTTTTTATTTTTTATTATTATTTATTTATTGGCGGAGGAACGCCAAATCATTTGAGGACCGGGTGGTCACCGACGTGATATTAAACGCGTGTAGCGTGACACGCCACATCGTTTTCCTTTACAAGCAGCCTCAATCCTCATAAGTACACAAATCATATATAAATCTAACATTTCTTGCCTCTTCTCGCGATACTTTCTACCGCTTTATTGGTCCAATTTCAAGAAATATAACAGCCGGTTAAAAAAAAGAAGAAGCGATTCAGCACCATGGACAGCTGCAGCTAATATACTTCTCTTCAACTTTTATAAAATATCATGATAAAATGTATAGAATTTGGCCGCAGAAAGTGACCCCCTCATAATAAAACTTTCTTAGTATTGTGTAGCTTTAAAAAAAAAACCTTAGCATTTCTATTAAATGTAGTTGTATAGCAATGGATTAGATTTATTTATAAGTGACACTGCACTGAATTATACACAGAAGTACGACTGAATACGACTTTAAGTCTTGCAAGCTTTTGGAAATGCGAACTTTTTTCAGAGTTTTAGTGGTAGGACATTTTTTCACTGGTATGGGGAAGCAAGACACAAAACCTGTGCTGAGACCATCCTGGCTGTGGGGAGTTTTTGTTGTCTGTATTGTTTTTTCTTTAGGAGAGTCAGGGTATGCAATCACACTAGATGAACTGTTGTATGAAGATGAAGAGGTTTATCTAGAGAATAAGCCTGAGCAGTCTAAAAAGTGCTTCATTTGAAAACACGTAATTGAATTAGGTTAACCAACCTTTTTTTTTTTTTTTTTTTTTTTTACAATGGGTCAATTTTACAATTCATAAACTAAATATGTTCAGTTGGTTAAACTTAAATAAATCACCTGTTATCAGTTCAAGCAATTTATTTGACTTGGTGCTTTCATTCCTTTTCTGTTGTGTGACTGGAAACCACATTCATTTCTTAGATTTGGTCCACTTCATTAGAACCACACTAAACCAGATTTAACCTTGAAGTGCACAAAACTATTATCATAATATCTTGGTGTCATATTTCTTATTTAGCTCTAAGACCGCGCTGCTTCGCATTCAGATCCAGACCTGCTCGCTTCACCAAACTGAACCCAGCATATGACGTAATTATCCGAGAGTGAGGCTGCGTCTGTCCAGCAGATGGCATCAAACCGGACTGCTGCTGTTGTTTCCGTCAGTCGACGTCACCGAGAGGCTGATTGTTCCGGTGGCGTCAGCTTCCCATGGTGCAGGATTTTGTCATCATTCAGGTCGTGACTAAGAAACAAAAAAGCACCGAAAGATGCAGAAGCGTGCTTTTAAAGACCTCCTGAGAGCTGCAGGATCTTCTTAACAGAGAGCATTTTATTCAGTCTTTCCCCAAAATACATAATTTCAGGCAGATGTATGTCCACGGATGACATTTAGCTCTCCTAGAACATATTGATGAGAATATGTTTTGTATAAGGGGCTAAAACCATTAATATATTTGCCTATACCTTCAGATCTTGTTGGTTATTTAATTTTACTGAATGACTTTAGGGCGTTCATGTTGCTGAGCTCTTGGAAAGGACTTTTTTTTTATATAAAAATGTTTTTTTTTCTTTTTTTTTTTTGTCTTCTTTGATTTATTTCCTGATTTTTAAAAGTGTGATATGTTACTTTTTGCCAGCAATAACATATAGACAAAGGCCAAGGAGTCAAAAATCTTTTCAGGCTAAATTTGTGAAACTTAAAAATATTTGTAAAAGATTCAGTGATCTTTTTCACACAAGTCACCTGATTAGCCATTTTTACAGCTTTATTTTAACACTCCTAAATTCTTCCTTTTTCTTTCTTTATTAGCCTAATTGGGAAGATGATCTAATAGTGAAATTTATTTTCTCCTTATAACACACTTAAATTTATTGTATGTCACTGACAACTAAAATCACCTAAGAAAATTAAAGAAAACTTCATTGAAATCCCATAACATACAACCACATTTTTAAATACAGTGATATAGATAAGGTAAAATATTACAGAACATTTTAGTTTGAAGCTGGTATAATCCAATCAGTTATTTTTACTAAATGAATATGTCCTACTATTTAATAAATATAATAACAAAAATGATCGTGATTATTTAAATTCCTTTTGATTGAATTTGTTTCTGTTTTAGGTCAGAACTGATTCTTTTTTTTTTAACATATCTACAACTTCCAAAGAGTCCGTTCCTCCTGACAGACGTAACTGAGTCAGGTTTGTGGGTCATCCTTGTCAGCTCCATGGGACTGAGATCAGGGCTTTGTGATTGCCACTCCTAAACCAAATTTATTGTCTTCGGGACACCATTTACAAAATAGCTTGGAGTCATCGGCAAGTTCGCAGAACCAGTTTTTACACAAGCGTTAGCTTACTGCCAGATGCATTTGCTGCAGTATTTTGCTGGCTGCCACTTGAAGAGTTCTTGATGAAGAATATTCACAAACAAAGGTTTTTTAAAATGTATATAAATATATTTTATACACTTTTGGCTTAATTACTTCTCTGAGCGGGTTGCTATTTAAACAGATGTCATGTTTAGACATGTCACCTAATGGGAGAATACTTTATTTGTTTGATACCCAATCTCCAATGTCAAATACATATAACAACAGCAGACTTTCACCAAACATTTCTATTTGTTTCATGACATTAAGATGAAACCTACTTCCATTCATTGCACGTGTTTACAGTGAAGGCTTAAATAGGAATTTAGATAAATGTAGAAAGATCAATATTTTTTCATGCGAATTAGACTTAAAAAACACCAGTCTGTATACACCAGTTAACAATTATTCAAATCCTAAATTAATTGATGTTTTATTTCTGATTGATACTTTTATTCATGCTGCCTGTCTCCTGCCTTATCTCCCAGCCGTCTGCTAAACTCCACCATCACCTGGTGAAGGAGTGTGCCGACACTCATCAGCTGCTGGTTCCTGTTCTTCAGCTGGTTCAGCAGTGAATTCATAGACACCAACAGGACGTCATCACTCCTCTCGCCGTCTTTAATTATAGATACGTCTCGTTTCCATGCTCCCTCTAATTCTTGTAGCAAGGCTTTTGCCTTAAGGTTGAACTCCTGGACCTCCTCTTGGTACCTTTCTGTCTCCTGCCTGCAGGTACTGAGATCCTCTACCAGCTGCCTGGAACAAAGATGGATTCTGCTGTTCTGGGTTTTGACCTGCTCCAGCATCACTTTGTGTTTATAGATGCTCTCCTCCACGGCTCTAAGCTCTCTGTTCTGGTAGCTCAGCATGTCTGTGAAGGACTCTAGCAGATCCTCCAGTTCAGCCTTCATGTTATCCCTTGGCTTCAGCAGGATTCTAGTTTGCTCCTCTGTGTCCTGGATGGACAACTGCAGCTCGGATCTCCTCCGGTTCAGCTCAGTGTTGAGATCACTCAGTTCGTCATGCCTTTTTTTCACTTTGCTCCACTTTGCCTCAACCTGTTCCAGCATCTTTTCCCGCTCATCCTGCTCCTTCTGCTTCTCTTCTATGCTCCTATAGATCTTCTCAGTCTCTGCAGCGATCTGCTCCACCTCCTCCTGGTGGATGTTCTGGATCTCTTTCAGCTCCTTGTCATTTTGAGCCCTCAGCTCAATGAAAAAGTCAGGCTCTGCACTTTGAGGGTGCAGCTGAAGAAGGGTCGCCTCCTCCTTCAGCAGCTTCTCATACCTCTCCCTGGTGTTGCAGATATCAGAGGTCATTCTCATCTCATACTCCTCCTGCCTTATCTTTTCCTCCTTCAGGAGAACACTGGCCTCCTTGATTTCCTCTTTAATATGGCCGATGTCAGACTTCACCGCATCCAGATCATTGTGCAGTTCCTCCATCCTGGACTCGAACACACGCCTCTTAATCTTGCCGTCTTCCTGGAGCTCTTGGATCTGCCTCTCCATCTCCATGATCTCACTGCTGTGTCTGATATTAGAGGTGATACGCTCCTCCAGCTGCAAACCAGAGCGCTCTAGCTGGAGAGAGACACATAGATAATCAGCCCGGACCTCCTTTTCTTTTTCAATCCGGCACCTGAATACTTTACTGATCTGGTCCAAACGGTCTTTGAGGAGCAGTCCAGAAGATTGACCCTCCTGTAGTTTAACTTCTACTGCTCTGATTTGCTCTCGGAGCTTTTGGACCTTGAGGCTGAGAGCATCCTCTAACTCGTCACGCTCCTTCTGCAGCATCTCCATCTGTCGGCCCAGTTCTTGAAACCGACTGGCTTCTTCCTGTAGTTGATGCTCACAGTAGGACCTGGATGCCTTCAATCTTTCCAGGTTGCTCTCCAGTTGCACCATCTGAACGCTGAACTCCTTTAGACAGCTGTCTGTTTCATCTTTCCTCCCATTAACCTCTTCTAACTCCCGTCTGATCCTACTAATTACATTTCTCTGCTGCCTAATCTCTCCTTCGATCCCCTCCACCTTTCTGCACCAGTTCTCTTGTTCCTCAGAGAAAGCACTCCTTGCCAGAGCCATATTTTGCAGGACGGATGCTTTCTCCTGCTTAGCAGCAGCAGTGGAGGACCTCAGCTCCTCTATCTGCTCAAGCTTCTGCTCCAGGCCCTGCTGTCTGCTATATCTGAGGCTCATTTGATCATTCAGAGTGGCAATGGCCACCTCATGCATACCCTTCACCTCATCTCTCTTTAATTGAAGCACTTTGTCTTGTTCTAACAGCTCCTGCAGTTTCTTCTCAGACTCCTTTTGGATTTGGGAAGAAGTAGCGAGGTCTCTGCGCAGCTGCTCCATCTCCTCGGCGTTGGATGCCCGGACTGCTGCTCTGTCTGCCATGATGTCTTCACTCATACGATCTGACATGTTTTTGATCTGGAGCCTAATATTGCTGCTTTTTGTGGTTTCCACTTCCAGGTGCTCACGGGCAGCTCGCCTAGAGGCGTCCAGCTCGGATACAGCAGCCGCCATGGCGGTTAGGTGGCCGCTGCATTCAGCTGAGAAGGGGAGTTCGTCCTGTCTGAGCCTCCTGTTCAGCTCCTCCAGGTGCTCCAGAGCCACCAGGACGGCGGGGAACTCAGGAGCCTGACAGGAAGCCATGTTTTCCCCGATTGGTTTGCTTTCAACACTTCCTTTATTGCGCCGGTAGTGAAGACAACTTCTTTAGAACGCTGTAACCAAGGCAACGGGGGCAACGGAGTTCTCTACGGCAAGCCACTGGGACATTCCAGCGAAAACGAACCGAAAATATAAGGAGGGACCAAGCTATTTGGAGATGAATTTGTTACTTAAAGTTATCAAACCAGTTAAATTAAATCAACAACTTCAGATGATAATATGTAATATATACGTCTCTGTGTGTATGTGTGCTATATATATCACTGGATGTCTTTTTAAAGTAGTTTTATCAAAGACTGTAATAAAGAAAGTTTTGACAAGCAAAAAAAAAAGAAAAAACAATAGAGAAAAAAAATGCTTCTAGGGGATACAAGTTTTCAATAATTATTTATTTAGACAATCCATTTGTTTGCAGTCTAAAACTACTGAGGGGAAATACTAAAATGACTATACTGACATCTAGTGGACATATGACATCATTGCACTTTATCGCTAGAAGCCACCATATGAGATAATCCTTTTTAGTAAGATACGTCGTTGATTAAAAATGTCGCAAATCCCTTCATAAAATAGTTAGAGGTTGTCTATATAAATTAAGCAAATATATTTAACAAAGATTACCATTGTTATCCCCTTAGCAAAAAGTAGTTTATTCAAGTATACTAAATGTGCACTAATTGCATACTTCAAACCAGGCAGTGCACTTAGAGTTTACTTATTCTAAACAAAATTTCATATACTTAACAATACTATTGTTTAGTTAACTTAAAAATGTCCCAATTTAGTTTGAAGAAGTATTACTTTAGTAATACTTCAAGTACACTAAAAGTACACTGTTCGGTATACTTTCTAAACTTATACTTAAGTATTCTTAATAAAATCTACTTCAAGTACACTACTTTTTTTGCTAAGGGCAGTGATAGAAGGAGGCCAATTAAGGGAGTAAACACTGACCCAAAATAACATGTGACTTGAAGTAGGCTACTTACCATTTATCAATACAGTGTTTACTATTTGGGTGGATAAGTTGGCCCTTATGGAATAATGAGTAGCTTGTTTGCAATAAGACAAAAACACAATATTCCTTTTTTAACCAACATCTTTTTATTTATCGTTCACATCTAGAAATTTAAGTAAACAAGATGAAGGCTCAACTCCTTAGAAAGATACAGATACAACTCTCCCAGAGGTGGTGAGAGCTGTTTATCAGAAACACTTAAACACCAGCAGGAATCTGGACAGTGGTTTCTATTTAAGATTAAAAAAAGTGTTACCAATTATTTTGGTAATGTTTCACTTGAGAGTGTACAATTGATACATACAGCACCTTAGGTATTTTTTTATGTCAGAAAAGAATAATCATTAATAAAAATATGTTTTCCATGACCTTTCACACTGAAAGTGACAGCCCCCACAGAAACAAAAAACCAACACAGAGGTGTAGATCATATTTGATGTCCACATCTAACCGAAACTTAATTCTTTCTTTTGCACTTTTCTTTTAAATTGCCAGTGTACTGTTGACTTTTTCTTTTTTTTTTACTTACAGCGAGTGCTTTACGTGGACTACCTTCTCTTTCTTTTCTGCTTTGGCTTATAGTTAATTGCTAATGTAATCTATTTTTTAAAACACATTTTACTGGCTTTGCATATTTTTTTCCAGACTCTAAATCAAAATAAATAACTTTTTGACAAAAAATAAGACCAAACATCTAAACTACACAAAAAATCTGGAAGATAAATATTTATAGCTTCTGAGTGGTTTGTAGGCTTATGTGCAAAAATAACCATTTTTTGGTTTGTTTTTTTTAGGCTCAGTTTACTCGCTGACGACCGCCAAGTCCACATCTTCAGTACGGGACACAACCTTTCCGTCCACAAGCTCCTCAACCACAATCTTTGTCCTCTTGGTGATGACTGGTTTATCTGTGGGAAAATATTCAAATTTAAGAAAATCCCTCTTTATCGTATACCATAAACATGCTATGATATAAATTCCTAATCATGCAGCTATAAAATGACAAAATTGCAATATAGACACAGATGTTCCCTGGTAACTAGTTGGTAATCAGACAGAAAGTTCAAACTTCGCTACAAATGGGTCTTCTAAAATTTTTCATTTAAAAAGAAAATGTAAATGATGTTTTCCATATTGATCCTATCTTATATTAAACTGTTATTCCTGACAGCAATTAAAGCTTATACATTTGTTTGCAACGTCTTATCTAAAAAACACAAGTACAACAATAATAATGCCATAAAGCGTTTAGATATGCAGGATTGAAACAAACTTACGTTCTTCCACCTTCACTTCTTTCTTAACCTCCCTCACCTCCACAATTGCAGTTTTCCTAGAAGGAAATTTTTATTTACTATCAATATAGACATGTTATTGAAATCATTAATCATAATCTATTATTCGTCTTTACACCATTATGTGAAAAAAGCAGCTCGAATTTGTGTCCCATGCTACAGAATGTTGCAAAGATTTCTCATCTCTGGGTTAAACTTGTTCTTACTTCACGTCCTCTCCATCCAGCAGTCTTCTGTACTCGGCGATCTCCAGCTCCAGCCTGGTTTTAATGTCCAGCAGAATCTGGTATTCTGAGGACTGCCGCTCAATGTCCGTTCTCATTCTACTGAGCTCTTCCTCCAGGCTGTTCACTATGCGCTGGTGGTCGCTCAGCTGCTGGCTGAAACGTGTCTCTGTCTCATACAGCTGACCTTCCAGGGCACCTTTCTGCACAGGAGACCAAAAAAAACAAAGCTTACTTTGTGGCTCTCTGAGGGCTAATTGCTTATTTTTAGATATTTCTGCCAGTGGCAGTTATTAATGGCGACAGATGGGTTAAATGATTGCCTATTGGAATGTTCATGTTATGTGTCAATGGTGTAGACCATTACCAGGCTGTGTTCAGACTGAAGCTCAATCTGCAAACTCTGCAGCTTCCTCTTTAGCTCGTTGATCTCGCTTCTGGATGTCTGTAGAGTCTCTGTACTGGATGCCATGGTCTTGTTCAGCTCTTCAAACTTAAAAGGTTTCAAGATAGACATGAAAATTGTCCTGAATTCTCCACACCTTTCTTCAAAAATGAGCATAAAGTGAATAAGGAGCTAGTCATTTTAATTCCAATTTCCCTCACCTTGACTTTGTACCACGCTTCCATCTCACGGCGGTTTTTCTCGACAATTCCCTCATACTCACTCCGCATCTCTTCAAGGACAACAGACAGGTCCTCACCTCGCTTGGCATCAACCTCCACGTTCACAGAGCTGGTGGAGACATGGCTACGCAGGGCTGCAATTTCCTGCAAACAGGAAAACATGTTTAAAAATCCAGAAAACCAAATCCAAGAGGGAAGTGGCTTTTAGAGAAGGTCTGAGTTTAGAGGTGCAGTGAACATCCTTTCAGTCAAAGACTAACTTTAAAAAAAAAGCCTCATCAGCAACAATAATGTGAGACTTGCTATTATCAGACAATCTTGCATGAGTCATCATTCTTGGCAGCCTGCTAAGCTCACTCCTGGCATCTTTACAGAGTTACATGGAAGTTTTAGCTCATCGCTCGGTCTAGACCAGTTTTGTTTGTGGAAGAAAACGATTAAATCTCTTGGCAGAGCTATACCAGTTTATGCAAAATAGTTTCAGGTAATTATATGTTTCCCTGCTTTGCCTAAAACACTTATGACAATCAACTGAGTGCGTGTCTCGGTTCTTAGTAATTGATTTCAACTTTTAAAATGTGGGATTGTTTGAGGGGGGAGATATTGCTTTTTTTACATTAACTCAAATTTTGTAATGGAAATATAAATAAAGGTAGTAGAAGAGTTGTAGTTTTTACATTGGGAATTCTACATAAAAAAAACATTTCTGTGTAGTTTTTTGTAAGAAAAATTCAGGAAGAATGCCTTTTCCCGAAAGTTAAATCTTCCACCAGAGGGCAGTATGCAGGTGTAGGGTTTGATACAGCAGACTTTTAAGGGAAAAAAAGTCACCCTTGTTGGAAAGTTAGATGTCACAGAAATATATAAATCATCAATTGTACTTTTGGGATTATAGGGAGAATTATCAAAAGTCCACTTCATGTGATAGCAGGGAAAGTGCTCGGGCTAATGACATTTTTTATGACTAAAGAATCCTTAATTACATATGCTTCATCATTGATCACAGCAGTTCTGTTCTCTATTGCCTCACCTCCTCGTGGTTCTTCTTCATAAAGATCAGCTCCTCCTTTAAGCCCTCCACCTGCATCTCCAGGTCGGACCGAGTCATGGTCAACTCATCCAGAACTCTGCGCAGCCCGGCAATGTCTGACTCAACCGACTGGTGCAGTGCCATCTCGTTCTCATACCTGTGAAGAGAGATGTTTTTCATTGCTGCGCCCTCTTAAAGGCATCAATAAACAAACAAAGAAAAGTACAACCAGACTGGTTCCACTGGTTTCCTTTCTTTACTGACCGCTACAGGTCTTTGAAAACATCCAAATAACCTGACTCAGCTGTGTGAATAATTGACGTCATCTTTTTAATACTTAGATCTCTTTAGCAAAATAACACATTTTTTTCCACTCACTTCATTCTGAAGTCCTCTGCTGCCAGCTTGGCATTATCGATCTGCAGCATCAGCCTAGCATTATCAAGGGTAGCATCGTTTATCTGCAAAACACCAACATGCAGGTGCGTTAGCGGTTGCTTCATCTGAAGAAGGTTGATCAGAGCGCTGGAAATGTTTACTTCACATTGTCATTGAAGTGCATCGGTAATCTGACTTCCTGTTATTCTATAAAGAGTCGCACAGAGCCAAATTCCTCCATTTAAGTTGCTTCAAGCTCAAACATGTGAATAAATACAAGCTGGTCCTGATTTTCTTAAAAAAAACTTCACACTTGGATGATGCTGGTGGGAAGATTTTGGGTCATGTGGGGTGTTACATAATCAGGCTTCATTCTGGTGAGAACCACATTTAAAAAATAAAGATTTTCCACAAATGTCATCGTTAATAATAATAATAAAAAGGAAAAATACAGAAGCCCTACCAGAGGATACATATTTTTAATTTGTTCGATACCCAATCTCCAACAGCAGACTTTCAGCCCATGTTTTTATATGTGATATTAGGATGAAATCTACTTCCATAAATGGTACAAGTTTACAATTGATGCTTAAATAGGATTTAACAGATCCATGTAAAAAAAAAAAAAAAAAGACTTAAAAACCTTGAAATTAATATAAGGGTAAGATTCTGCTGTAATTTGCATGAGCAAAGGGAAATTGTGTGGGGAGGGCACAGAGCTGACTCCAGCCCAGGGGCCCATATGGTCTTGAATCCGGCCCTGTCTAAATGTAATCTTTTATCTAAAACAAAATCCTTCACAAACAGAAAGGATTAATAACTATTAATATTAATAATAGCCATTACAGTTACATGTTTCAAAGTTTACCTTTTTGCGCAGGTCCGTGATGATCGCATCGTACTTGCTGTAGTCCCTGACGGTGGGGGTCTGCTTCTCATACCATTCCTTGATCTGAAGCTCCAGCTTTGTGTTGGCGGACTCCAGCGTGCGCACCTTCGCCAGGTAGGAGGCCAGGCGGTCATTCAGGTTCTGCATCGTCGCCTTTTCACTTTTGGATATAGAGAAGTTGTCTCCGCTCCCGAGCGCCTGCGTCAGGTCAAAGCCGGAGCCCAGGTCGTTGGAAGCGTAAGAAACGCGGACATTCCTGCCTCCGGCCCCTCCGTACACGCTGGTGCCGCGAGAGGCTCTAACGCCGGTGGACATGGAGTAGAGGGACATGGATGATATTCCGGAGCGCGTGGAGCTCATGGCTGCTGATGATGCTGCTGCTGCTGCTGCGGGTCTGGAGAGCGTCTCTGAGGCGGTGTGGGAGAACCGATGCTGAGGCAGCTCGGATGATGGACTTTATAAGCCTCCTGATGTGGGAGCGGCCGAACAGGTAGGTGGAAAGATGCTGCTCCCTCCATTCCAGGTGTGACTACCTGGGCGTGGCGTGGAATTCACGTCCTTTCCCGATAATGTACTGACTGTCATTCCACATCACAATTAAAAAAGAAAAGAAAAACGAAAGGTGTGGGAGGTTTCTTTTTCGTTATTGCCTCTGACTCTCCTCTTTAATAATGTTCGCTTGATAAACCTCCGCATGAGGAATTTCTTTGTGGTATTTTACCACAACGTCTAACTAAAATTAAAAAATAAGTAAACAACAACGACATTCCGCGCTGTCACTTTTTGATACACACAAACAAAGCCAAGGTAGGGTAAAAAAACAAACAAACAAACAATAGGAAAAAAAATGTAAAAACAAAACGGAAAAGAAAAAACCTTTTCTGCCTCTAAAGCTATTAGTTCGCAGGTCCGGTGCATCAAGTTATATGAAGAAAGAAATGGCACTTATAGAGAATAAACAATTGCTGTGAATCAATTCAGAAAGTTATTATTAAGTATACACTGACAAAAATTATGCTACCGTTTTTGGCATTTACTTAATTATATTTCAGAATCAGAAATACTTAAATAATCCCAGAGGGAAATTACTTTTGTTACACGCTCAAGTTACAGTTTTATATATATATACATCTAACTACACAAGATAATAAATATAAAAATTAAAAAAGATGATAATATATAGGCTAAAGATATAGCTCTTCTGTAAATCTCTCTCTCTCTCTCTCTCTCTCTCTTAGTCACTTTAACACAATTTTTTTATATCCTACCCTGCTAACATGAAACAATTGTGTTAAAGTAACTAAATGTGATTAAGTAATTGCCAAAAACATGTTTAAACATGAAAGAAATTGAATCCTTCAGAAAAAAAAAAAAAAATCTTACTTTTTCCAAACTTCAGTTAGGTGTCACAAACTTTAACAGTAACTGGGATTTATACAGTATTGTTTGTATGTGAGAAAGCATCCTTTATCTTAAAACTATGTGGCCACAATGGTTTGTTGGGTTCAGAAAAGCTCTGTAACAATGTCTTAAGACAGGTGGCACCAAAGTGGAGATGTAAACCAAACGTGTTGCTTTCATGGGAAGAGCAGACAACCTGTGATTGGATGTTGGTTCAGTTTGAGCTGCCTCCTTATCAAGGACATCGTGTGTGTGGTGTTTCTGGTGGTTGGGGGTGGTGGGGTGGTTTGTGCTCACCTTATTCAGTTACGAACCCCTTTATGAACCATTTTAGAGTGAAATGTAAAGCCATTTATTTGACTCAGATTGGGTTCTGCACCAGGAGGCTGTTTCCAAACAGCCTTGACAAAACAGGCTATATTGTGCTCAGACAGCTAAATAATTAAATATTTAACTTATCAAAGAACATTTTTAGCCAATGTTTGATGACAGGCATCAGTGTGTTTATTATATTAGAAAACTCCAGGCTTCTTTCTTTAAGTTCTCCTGATTATGGAGCACAAAACTCAGTAATAAAGAACGAATAAGGGACGTCTTTCTCGTTTGAAGTTACCTAAACATCCTGCTGGGACTCCTTTACTGCTGCAACTATGACTGGATCTGTCTGTTGAACACTTCCTGGGGCTAACAATGGGCCTGAATTTCCTCCATTTGTTCCTAATTTGTCTAGGCGTGGCACGGTGGAGACAAACCCTTTGTGCGCGGATTTGTAGCCTTCCATTTAGAATAATATCAAAATCTCTCTCTTTTGTAAAACTTTCCAATACCTCATCTGTCCATGCAATGACACACATTTACTAACATGTAAAAAAATTTTTTTTCTTGTTCCTAAAGCCGTATATGACATAAGGTGTTATTTGTGTGTTCATCTTCTTTTTTAAGTTTCCAGCCTAAGGTAATAAGGATTTTATAAGCCCTATTTATGCAGAGACAGATACAATGTATGCCAGATCCTTCTCCGCTAAAGAATGACAGGAGGTTAATTATGACATGTTGGCAACTCAGCTGTGAGGTATTCAGATTTGACACAAAGAGTTGAGCTGTAATTAGTTTTCTAATACTGGCTGGTGTTACAAACAGTTAAAAAACGTATTCCACTAAAATATTTAAGAATGCAAAACCCATTGGATTTTGTAATTAAAAAGTTCTGATCTACATATGGGGCTACCCAATGACGTTGTGGGTAGCACTGCTGCCTTGCAGCAAGAAGGTTCCGGGTTTGCTCACTTTGTTTGTATTAATCCTCTGCCTCTATACTATCTTTTACTTCTTGGCAAGAAATTTCAGGTTCAACCAGATCAAATCAAGACCCTCTTTGAAAATCCGTGTTTAAATCTCACCACTGATACTTTGTTGGATTTAGTAATAAAATGGTGAAAGGAAGAGACAGACTTTTATTATGTTCTTCAATGTCAGTAGTCTACGTACACTAAAGTAATATAGTTTCAATCCCAACTCGTCAAATATTGATGCAAGAGCTCTACACGTAAGATAACGATGTGACGGGGGTACCCCTCACATCATTTGTTGTTACACAACAGATTGTGATAGAAGAACTGTAAATAAAAACTTTCTACTAATCCATCCCGTAACTAACCCTAACCCCTAAACCTGTATACATGTTCCCATACACTCCTAAAGCTACCACACTAACTAAGTAAGCCAAAATAAAAAAAAAGCTTTTGCTTCGGGTCACGTGTTAAAATGTCCATAGCCTCTCTTTTTTTTTTTTTTTTCATAAAAATCTGCTGCACATATTTTGGACCAGTCAAAATAATTGGAACCAGCATTGGCCTTAAAAACAAACATGTCTTTGTTGAGGTCACTAAAAGCAAGCATATTTTAAGGAAAGTGCTCAGTCACTGCATCCCTGAAAAAATAGAACAAAGTCAGCAAAAATATCAAAAAAGGATTGTAGACACCTGCAAGCCTGGTTCATCAATGTCTTCAATTGCACTAAGCTGTTTTTGAATGTACAGTTGTATTGTGTTGGAATTTACAGTAAAAGACGCTGGTGAAGATTCAAAATTGAAATCAATATGTATTTTGAATGAAAAAGCTTCCTGGATGGAAAGCGGAATGTCTTCAAAGTTGGAAACAAAGTCCAGTGGTTTGTTTTTTCACCTTTTTGAAATACTTTGAGCTGGGTGACTGAGAATCTTCACCACCATAGTAAAAGATATTAACAATACTGCTGTAGTCTTCATAAAAATCACTATCATATTTTGCCCTAAGGAGTTTGCAATGTTTGAGCCTAATTACAGCTCAGACATGTTTAACTTGGCTGATTGATATTGATCTTGGCTATAGTTTTTTTCTTAGAATTCCTTAGACATACTTGCATATGATGATGCTTCCGCTCAAAATGGAAATTCTTAACTTGCACGCATCAAGATAAGATTACTTTTAATTATTTTTCTAGGCTGTGGTCTATGAAGAGTCTTAGCTTGTGGTGATTGACAGTTTGTTATTATTCCAATAATCTTTTTTTTTTCTTTTTCCCCACTGCTTAAAATGTTTTTCCTGAGAACTAAGCAGTAATTCAGGTTTCAAATAAAAAGTGAAGACAAGAACGCATGCACAGTTGCACCTGAGTTCAAACTGTTGTAGGAAAATACTGGAGCTATTGTAAACAACAAGCAAACTTCAGTTTGAAAATTTTTTTACATAATTGTTTTTCTATAACTGATTTTCCAGAGGACAGATTATAAGTTTAAAAGTTTGACGTGTGTCAGATTTTAAACTTTTTGTGGAACATTACTGATGCTTAAGGATGATCAAATTTTCCAAAAGTTAAAATTGTGATTATTTTCAACAAATCTTGTGAATTTATTTTGATTTTCCTTGGCACCAACCACAATCTAGAGTCCATTTTTCCAGGACTTTACAACTTTTGTGTGTACTTCTACTTGCATGCAAGGATCTGCATGCTTGCTGCAAATGTCTCTCTTTCTGTGTGGTAGCAAAGCTATTTTATATATTCACCATCACCTAAAAGGCTGCGGTGAGAAACTTAGTGTGATACTCCTGTTAAATGCAATATGAGTAAAACTGAGGGCCTCTGCGATTTAAAAATTTTGTATTTTGTTTTTTATTGTGATTATATTGCAAATGCAGTTAATTACTCACCCCTATTGATTTGTGCCATCTAATGTTAATAATTAAACATCAAGCCTTCAGACATGCATCTTTAAATGTGGTGTAAAAATGTCAGATTGAACTATTTTCCTTTAATATGTATTGTTTACAACTCTGTTTCTCATTTTTTAATTTACATTACTTCTTTGACTGTTATTGTTTTGCTCTAGTAGCTTTTTGGTTGGTATTTATTTTCTATAATTATGCTTGTTGAAGGGTAAACGATGTGTTCTGTCTCTGATGGTGTTTGTATGTCTGATGTCTGATGGTCTCTGATATTTGTAAAAATATAAGTTTGTTCTAGGTCGTTTTTTTTTGCACTGCAAAAACAACCTAGAAATAAGTTATGATGTCTTAAATTAAGTGTATTTACGCTTAATTTTAGCAGGTAAATAAGATTATTTGTCAATGGAATCAGCAGTTTTACTCATAGAATAAGATAATTAGGTACTATGCACTTGAAATAAGACAATGCAATTGATTTTTTCTTATTTTAAATGTAAATAGTCTTGTTCCTTTTGCAAAGTGTCTCACTTCCCTCTTCAATTCAACAATTGAGATTGCAGGCTTTTGCTGCATGGTATGTACCAAATTTGGTGCTCTGTTCAATTCCGTGAACACTTCAATAAATCTAGCTGAGTAATTGGTGAAGAACAGGAATGATGTAAATTGATGGATTGAAAGTGTACAGCCCTGCAAAGAGCCTTTAGTGTACAAAGTTCATTAAATAATTTTCTAATGACCCAACCAAACCACATCCTCTGTAAGACCCCAAGGAGAAGTGATCAGAATTCCAAGTCAGTTCTTCTTTCCCATGTTTGGTTGCTCAACACATGACTCATGTTAAATGAAAGCTTTAGAGAGCTGTTTGAATTTCCTTTTATTTATTTA